GACATGCTGAAAGGACCCTGGTGCGAGGAGCAGACGCCACAATGAACTTCTTCCATGGCGGTATCGGCCTCGTCCTGGTGCAGGCATCGGAGGAGAGTGCCATTGTAGGACCGTTTGCAGAGTTTGTCATCTTCTATGGTGTAGCTTGGGGCCCTGAGTTTGGCAAGTTTGGCCCTCTCCTCGTCCGGGGGCAACTCCCCCGTTGTGATGAAGGTGGCGATGTCGGAGATCCAGTCCTCTGGTCGCTGGTGGACGCACAAGACGGGGCTGGCATGGATACTGGACATGCTCAACTCCTCGATCTTGGCCAACTGGGAGATGTGCTCCGGGGTGTCCGAGCTGAGCTTGGAGAGGATGTCGGCTTCGGCGTTCTCGGCCCTTGGGATCTGAGTGATCTCATGGGTTTCAAACGCTTTCAGCAATTCCTCCGTCGTTTGTTTGTACTGCTTCATCCGGCCTTCCTTTGCTTCGTACGATCCCTCCACCTGGCCCACTACCAGTTTGGAATCGCACTTGATTCTGAGGTGCTTGGCCTTGAGGCCGGCGGCGAGTCTGAGACCGCTGAGGAGGGCCTCATACTCGGCTTCGTTGTTGGATACCCTGAAGTTGAAGCGGATGGCATAGTAGGCTCTGAATCCTTCAGGGGATATGAGGACGACGCCGCCGCCGCATGATTTCGCGGCCGACGAGCCTTCAGTGAACAGGGTCCACGTGTCGTCCGGCTCCGGCCCGGGGTTGGCGACGGCCGTCTCCCTTGCTGTGCATTCGATGACGAAGTCGGCCAAGGCTTGCCCTTTGATAGATGGCCTTGGCTTGATCTCAATTTGAAACTGGCTGAGGAAGATCGCCCATTTCACCATCCTCGAGGAGCTAGTGGGGCTCCTCATGAGCGTGCCGAGAGGCTGCTGGGTCAGCACATGGACGGTGTGGGCTTGGAAATAGTGCCCCAGCTTCTTCACGGTGTGGACGATGGCCAGCACCGTCTTCTCAATGGGGGAGTACCTGAGCTCGGCCTCCCTAAGTGTCTTGCTGATGTAGAAGATGGCCTTCTGTACCCCTTCGTCCTCACGGATGAGCACGGAGCTGATGGCCGACGTGCTCACCCCCAAGTACAGGAAGAGGGTTTCGCCGGCTTTGGGCTTGGAGAGTATGGGTGGGGACGACAGGTACCTTTTCAATTCGTCGAATGCTTCCTGGCACTCCGTCGTCCACCTGAAGCTGGTTGCCTTGCGCATGATCTGGAAGAAGGGGAGTGCCCTCTCAGCTGACCTGGAGAGGAACCGGTTTAAGGCCGCCAGGCGCCCCATCAGTCGCTGTACCTCCTTGACGTTGCGGGGTGGCTCCATGTTGATGATGGCCTGCGTCTTCTCCGGGTTTATCTCGATGCCTCTCCGGCTGACCATGTAGCCAAGGAACTTGCCGCCTTGGACGCCGAAGGCGCACTTCTTGGGGTTAAGGCGGAGCCTGAATTCCTTCATGATTTCAAAGATTTCCCGGAGGTCGTCGGCGTGGGAGGTGGCCTGCCTGCTCTTGACGATCATGTCGTCGACGTACGCCTCCATCGTCCGGCCAAGGACCGCTCTGAAGATTTTGGCCACCATCCTAGTATAGGTGGCGCCAGAGTTTTTGAGTCCGAAGGCCATGACGAGGTAGCAAAATATTCCCTCTGGGGTCATGAATGCCGTCTTCTCGCCGTCATCTTCGTGCATGGAGATCTGGTGGTACCCTCTGAAAGCGTCGAGGAACGACATCAACTCGCACCCCGCCGTCTCGTCCACCAACTGATCAATGTTGGGGAGAGGGAACGAGTCCATGGGGCACGCCTTGTTCAGGTCAGTGTAGTCAACACACATTCTGAACGTCGGTGGTTTTTGTGCGAGGACGACGTTGGCCAACCATGTTGGGTACTTCACCTCTTTGATATGTTTGATCGATAGGAGCATGGCGACCTCCCCTTTGACGAAGTCCCGCTTGTCAGTGGACAAGTAGCACCGCTTCTGTTTGACGGGCGCGGAGGCCGGATCGACGGTTAGCCGGTGAGTGATCACCTGGCGGCTGATGCCGGGCATATCGTCCGGGCCCCACGCGAAGACAACGGCGTATGACCGTAGGACGAGGAGGATGGCGTCTCGTTGGTCCTGGGGGAGTTGCCTTCCGACCCTGAGAACCCGCTCCGGCCGGGAGGTATCCAGAGGGATTTCCTCGACCTCCTCGGCCGGCTCCGCATGTGGCCTCTCCTCGTCCATGGCGACGGCGGCCGTGATGGTGTCTATCCGCTGTCCTTCCCTTTCGGCCGGCCTCGTCAGCTTGAGGTAGCAAGCTCTGGCTATCCTCTGATTTCCTCTGGCGTAGCCGATGCCGTCATTGGTGGGGAACTTCAAGCATAGGTGCTTCATGGAGATGATGGCCTCCAAGTCCTCCAGCGCTGGCCGGCCCAAGATTAGGTTGTGGGCGCACTGGAGGTTGACCACCATGAACTCCATGTCAATTTTGGCATGATGGGGGCCGTCACCGACTTCCACGGGGAGGACTATCGTGCCCTCGGCGTCGATAGAGTCCCCGGTGAAGCCGGATAACGGGGTCTTGATCGGCTTCAGCAGAGCTCTGTCCAGCTTCAGCTGCTTGAAGGTGTCCAAGTACATCACATTGACGGAGCTCCCCGTATCGATGTATGTACGGTGGATGATGGAATCGCCGATCTCGCATCGGATGACGAGGGCATCCCTGTGTGATTCCGTACCCGGAGGCAGATCCTTGTCGGTGAAGGTGATCGCCTCCGTCCGCTGCTTCTTTGGCTGGGGGGGAACGTGGGACACCTCCCCAATGTATAGGGATTGGGCCCATTTCTTTCTCTGAGTGGCGGAGTCCCCCCCAGTGTTCCCACCTACGATGAGGTGGATGTGATTCTTCTTCGGCGGAGGCTCCTCGAAGTCCTCATCGTCGCTGAGCCTACCAATCTCGTGCTTCTTCGCAGAGGGTTCGCCCCCACGTCTGCCGGTGTTCACCCAAGTGTTTTTTCGTGGGCCACCTTTGACAAACTGGGAGAGTTCCCCCTGGCGAATAAGGCGCTCGATGGCCTTCTTCAGTGTGATGCAATCGTCGGTGTTGTGTGACGAGTTCTTGTGGAACCGGCAGTACATGCCGCCCTGCTGGATAGCCAGGATCTCCTCGGCCGGCCGAGGAGCCTGCTCGATGAGGCCATGCTTCTCGGCATAATCGAGGATGGTGCCGACCGGGTGGGTGAGGGCTACCCCCGGCCGTTCCAGCCTCGGCCGCCAGTGGCGGTCTTTCTTACTTTGTCCACCAGAGCCGTGGCGGCCCTGGGCACCCTGGCCGGCCGGGGACGGACCCGAGGCCGGCGAAGGATTTGTCTTCTTGGGGGGATGGCCCCCCTCTCTCTTGTGATTGTGGAGCTCGTCGGCGTCGGCATATAAGCCTCCGCGTTGGAGCGCCTTGGCGTACGACCTCGGGGGGTCAGTGATGAGACTCCTGGCGTACGGGGAGCTGCGGAGGGCTCCCTGGTACAAGGCGAGGAGGGTACGCTCATCGGCCCCCTCGACTTCCTCTGTCTCCCTCGTCCACCGGTCGATGAATGACCGGAGGGACTCCTCGTGCTGCTGTTTGACGGAGAGGAGGTGGGTGAAATACTTCTTGGCGCGCTTCCTTCCGGCAAAGTGAGTGAGGAAGCGTTGGGCGAGATCTTGCCATGAGTCGATGCATCCCTCTGGCAGTCCGTTGAACCACTCGTACGCTGGCCCCTCGAGAGTAGAGAGGAACCAACGGCAGAGGTATTCGTCTGACGCATTCACCATCAGCATGTTGTTTTGATAGCGGCTGAAGTGCTCCTGGGGGTCTGATCGGCCATCGTAGGACTTGATGGCGTTCCCCCTGTATTTCTCAGGGATGGGGGCCGAGAGGACCCTGTTGGTGAAAGGGGTCCTAGTCCTGACCTGGATGATGGGGTCACCCCGCCCTTTGGCCAGCTCCCTCTCCAGGGCGCTGACTTTGTTCATGAGCGCGTTGAGGCCGGGGTCGTTGGAGGCGCCGGCCGTAGGGACGTTGGCCGACTGCTTGGCCTCCATCTGAGCCAACCTCCTTTCCAGCTGGGCGATGACCTCGTCCCGGGGGTCCCTATCGGCCGTAGCGGCGCCCGGCTGGTTCCTCCGGCGCTCGTTGTGAGCCGCGTTGATCTGGTGACGCGCGTCGTCCCCGTGCAACTTCCCCTTGCCCTTGTCCGGGCGGGGCTGGTCCGCTGTCCGGGACACAGACCCCAGACTTTCCCTTGGCGAGCCAGGACGAAGATCACCAATCCGTCCCGCCATCCTCTCCGAAACCGGACGACGGCGCGTGTCACCTAGCCTATTAAAGGCAGAGGCTTTTCCACGCGCTGGGGTCTGCCCGGGCCGAAGAGGGGAAGCAGGGTGGGAGTGGGACGACGCCGTGTCCTGGGCCACAACCCCCTCATTGTTGCCTATCTGATCGGCCAGTGGTTGGGGATGAGGAGGTGGAGTGACGTTTCCCCCGGTCCTTGGCAAGAGTGCGTTGAGGACGGTGGGATTCTGAGCCAAGCTGGCGATGATAGCTGACAGTGCGGCCTGGACCTTAGGATCCACGGACGGAGAGGCCGCGGCCGTAGGCTGGGCCGGGGCGTGGTCCGCTTTCTCAGCTCGTTTCTTTTCCAGGCCAAGGCGGGCGTCAGGGACTCCGCCGTTGAGTTGGTTGCGGAGGTCCGTCGTGAGGTTGAAGGCCTCCTGGAAGAGGTCTCCTCCGCCGACCTGGTCGGCCGTGGCGTCCTCATCGTGCTCCCTGGGCTCTTGGTCCTCAGGGATGACTTTGCTGACGAGGTTGCGGTTTGACTTAGTTCTCCCCATGATCAGTGGTTAGCTGTGCTTGGTAGCGACGAAGGGTGCTAACTTGATTGTCCTAGATCTCAACGAGAGCACCAAATGATAGAGTATTAACTCCTAGATTCTAGAGAGAAGTGAGAGCTAGAGAGAGAAGTGCAATAATATGCTTCAATAGAATGAATTTGTAACCCCTATAACTACTCCCAAGGGGAGTATTTATAGAGAAAATTAGGGTTGGGCTCCCAAGCCTTGGGCTTGGGAGGCCCATTTACAACTGGACCGCTACTGGGCCGAATACAAAGCCTCTAATGGGTTGTACAAATGAGTAAGTATAGAATCCGTTTCTGGGAGGTCTTCGTGGCCGACGAGGGCGTGGCCGACGAGGGCACGGACGACGAGGGCACCCGAGTTCCTTGGGTTCAGGACCGGAATCTGAGTTGGTCCCTTTTTGGCCGACGGGGGCGTCGCGGCCGACGAGGGTGCCACTCTGTTGTCTTGTGCTCTGTTCTTCCGAGTATGTGGGTCCTGGAACTCAGACCCATATACTCCATCAATAATAATAATAATAATAATAATAATAATAATAATAATAATAATAATAATAATAATAATAATTATAGTCACTATGATATACGGAGTACTCCACTGTATACTTCGTACATACAAATTAAATAACATGATCAACACCATGCCAAGAATTGATGAATGGTATATTGGTATGATCCCGTTATAACACTCCTATGAAGGATGATCGAAGGGTACGGGCAGGAGAGGTGACACGGTTTCGAGGTCACTGTGCATAAACCCGAAATTCCGTAGGACCTGATTGTCACCAAAATTCAACGCTCTCTCCATCCCTTCCCAGCAAGAATCGCCGCCGTACTCCGGGTTGTGGTTCCCACTACACGGTTGACATCCCGTAAAGTGCGTTATGAACGGCCGCCTCCACCGGCCCTTCCGATCCCCGCCTTCCGCCACGTGTGGCTCCCACGCCGCCGCGTAGCTCTCCCTGACCGCCTCCGCGTGCCGCCGCCGCAGTGACGGCTCTCCCCTCTCGATCTCCGCGTACCTCGCCGTGATGTTGTCCAGCCTCCCCACGATCGGGACCCAGTAGCCGTGCAAAGAGTACTCGTTCTCCACGTAGATCTTGTCCGTCCATTTCTTGCCTCCTTTCAGCAGGAGGTAAACCAGTCCCGACTGATCGTCCGATTCCGGGAACATCTTGTCCTTTAATGTGGATCGTTGGATCTCGCCCCATTTGTCGTAATCGGGAGATTGTGAGCCCATTTTGGCCCAATCGTCTAAAAACCCCATTGACCATTGGCAATTCCTGATCAGAAAAATCCCGGCGTTGACCGCCACCCAACTCTGCCTCACAACCGCCGCCGGCCAACCGTGGACGACGAAATTGTGGTTCCTATACCTCTCCAGAGGAATCTTGAAATCCATGTCGGTGAAGATAGCGTCGGAGTCCATCCAGAGGACCCACTCTGTTTCCGGGTGGGCCAGCATTGCCGCCCGGACCAGAGGAATCTTGGCCCAATAAGACCGCATCTCCGGGTGGAAGAAGGCGTTGCTGTAGAAGACATCATGTCCGTGGATTCTGCAGTAGTCCACCTTGTTCTTGAAGCACCTCAGGAGCAGGTGATCGCCGGCCGGGTTCTTGCAGGGGCCGGGCTGCGATCCGGTGAGGACGAGCACGCGCTTCTCTGCTCCAGCCGCGAATGAGGGGTGGAGCTTCAGCCACTCGGCCCTCTTTCCATCCCAGTCAACGACGGGTCTATTGATGGTGTAATTGAGCTCTGGGTCGTCGTAAAAGTTCTTCTCCGGTGGGTCGTAGCTCCGGTCAACGGCGTATCGGTCAACGGAAACGATATGCTCTGTCAGTTTTGATCTCAAGGAGTGATCGGTGAAAGACCAAACGATACAAACAAGAAAAATCGAGACAAGTAGAGTGAGAGTGACTGATTTTTCGCGACTGAAGGAAGAATGAGTGGTCTTCGCCGTGGTGGCGGTGGCGGAAGCCATGGTTAACGTGTCCCGCGAAATGAAGGAGGGAAGAAAAGAATCCGGCTTTACCGTTTTTGCAATAGACAATATTAGAGCATCTTCAAAGAGTGTCTCTTTGATTTTTGTTTATATCGGTTGATAACTTGACATAGTACTCCACTACTCCGTGACTCCGTGTTATACACTTATACAAAAAAAGGGGAAAAATGATGTTTGTACAAACTTTTATACACACTTTTGTACACACCTATGTCTGTGAAAGCTTTTTTTTTTGTCTGTGAACATCGATTCACAGACAATGTTTTGCACAAACAAAATATTGTCTGTGAACCGGATTCACAGACAAAAAAAAAGCTTCACAAACATGGTGTGTACAAGGGTGTGTACATCAAGAATGGTTGAAAAAAAGGATGAAACCCTGTCCATGAGGGCCCCCAATCCTGATCGGACGGTACGTTCGGAGGATGTAAATTGGATTATAATCCCAATCTGACATATAGAGAGTGAGACTCTCTCCCTGATACTTGCAGGGGTCCTATCCATTTTTAGCATAGTAACATCTCATCGCAGCTGTCGGGATTCGAACCAAGGACCTAACCCTTGTGGCACACCTTTGCTACCAGTTGAGCTACGCCCACCGGTACACTTATATAGTTATACTCTCGTACGCAATTATGCAGTAAAAATTTCAATTTTCCTGAAAATGCGGTCATTAAAAAGAAAGAAAATGATAGTACCTCGGTCGAGATAGACCAAAGTTGATGAGAAATAATAATATTAAAAAATGTATTGTTGAGATTTGTGCAGAGAAGAGAGAAATGTGCAGAACCACAAATTAGACGCTTTAACAGGAAAGTGACAATTTTTTTTGGGACAATCATAAAAGGAAAGTTGTCAAAGTCCAATTGGATGGAGGGAGTATTTCCCAAACAAATTCAAAAATTATCCTAAATAGGAGTACAACTATGACAAAAATAAAAAATAGGACATTTTATGTTTTTATTCCAAAGTAGAACCATATATTAGTCCTATTAGAAACATAACTATTTTTCATTCCATTATTACAAGGTCTTTTGGCCTGGATATTACTAAAAATAGGATAAAGGACAAAAAAGTGACATGTTTTTAAAAATTGCAAAAATGTGACTAACATCACAATTAACCTTGCAATGCATAGTGACTCCCGCCATAGTGACTCCCTCCAAAGTGACCCCACCGGACACAGTAACTACCCCACCGACCACGGTAACTAGGACGAGAAAAACTAGGAATTAATCTCAATCGAACTATTATTAATTACATAGTATGTCTTAGATGGGTTTGCATCTACATTTATTCGAAGAATGCGTACTTTCAAATGAGTGTATGTTTATGGTATGAATGATAAACAATTAATGACTTATTATGGTTTTTACAATTGGCTGATGATAAATCAATCAATTTTAGGTATCAAGATTTACAAATTCAGAAACTTCATAAATGATATTTTTAATTGAAGTGAATTTTCTTATCTAGTCTGGTCTGATAGATGTATGGTCTGTATATTTTGTAAATGCCAAAATCTTGATGTCTGATCTGGGACTTAAACCAGTTCAAGTAAAAATATTATTAAAGTTTAATAAAATCATAAAATAAAAACAAAAATATAATAAAAAGGATATACTAAATAAGTAGATAAAATAAAACTTTGTTGAGTACGAAAAATTGAATTTGCACATCATATTAAGATAGAGGGAGTATATTATATTGGAAAATGAAAAATATAATATCATTGGAAAATGACAAATATAATACTATTAGACGTATAAAGGACAAAAACAAGACTCCTTTAAAATTTAGACAAAAATGAGACTAATTATATGAGAATAGATAGAAACACCCCATTATATAAAACTTCCTTCTCCTGTGCTGCTGCTGCGTGGGGATGGGGCAGCAGTTTTACAGGGGCCAAGGACAAACTGGGAGGGGGGGAGGCTAGAGAGAGGCAAGGGCGGCCAGTCACTGGAAGGGGCGGAAATCATTGGATGGGGCAGGAGTCACTAGATAGGAAATTGTGATGGTTCAACAGTGGTCACTGATTCACTATAGTGATTGTAATTGTAATTGGCTGACAACAGTGATCACTGTGATGGTTGTAACTGTAATTGACCAACGAAGAAGGTCACTTTTACCAGCATGCATCAGACAAAATCATTGTAGCCGACAGTAGAACCGTAGAGGTCATTGTGGCCGACGACAATGATCACTATGATCAGCGGAGAGTTATTGTGACCGACGCATCATTGTTATAATGAGTCACTTCGACCAAAGTCACGTCATAAGATTGGCTACTAATCACTAAATTGAAGGATCATTAAATAAGATCCTATTTTTCTGCTTCCCAACTTAGTACTCCCTTCGTCCCAAATTGTTTTGCAAAGTCAACATTTTTTAATCAACCAATAATAAAAGTCAATGCTCCCTATGGATAATTAATTCAATTTTTAATAATTAAAATTTACATATTGAGAAACTAGGGGTGAGATCGGTCCGGTCCGGGTCGGGTTTTTGCTAAACCCGGAAATTACCCGTAAGGCATCGGGTTATGAAAATTAGGGACCGAAAAAAGCCCACTATATTCGGTCCGAGTCGGGTTTTTTGTAGCCCGGGTTCGGTCCGGGTTCGGGTTGGGTCGGTTAAAGCCCGAATGTGAAATCACTCATTTTTGTTTTATATTATAAAATCTATTTTCAAAAAAATTAATAAAAAGTACAAACCGCAAATAAAATAAATGAAAATCACAAAAATTAGTCTCCAAAATCACCAAGAATTCAAATCCAAAGAAGACAATTATCATAATATTTTGTTTAAGATGCATAAAAATAAGTAATTTAGGTGTTCTAAAAATGTTATGAAATAAAATTTATGGATAAAATGTGACTAAAGTTACTATAAATATGTTTTCATGGTCATTACGGTAAATAAATTGAACATTTTTGTAGTCACTAAAAGTTATTAAGTCAAATTTTCATCCATCATGATTATAATCATTCATTAGGAATTAACTTATAAATTATATTGGTATATTATATTGATTTTATATTAAGGCTAATTGTTTCGGGTTTTATCGGTCCGGGCCGGGTTATAGATTTTAGGGCCCGTTAAAAAGCCCGAAATTTCGGGTTCGGTCCGGGCTTTTTTTATTCGGGCCGGTCAAAAAGAAAAAACCCGGACCGATATCATAATTCGGGCCGGGCCAGGGCCGGTTTCCGGGTTTCGGTTCGAGTTTTCCCACCCCTATGAGAAACTACATTAAAATCTCTTCAAAGTTGTAAACCCCAAATTAGAATATAGTTACAAATTAACATCCTAATTAAGCCAATAAAATGAAACTATTTGACCAAGAAAAGTCAAATTTGCAAATCAATTTGGAACGGAGGTAGTATTACACTATTACCTAGTACTCCATCTGTCCCAAAATAAATGTCCTACTTTCCTTTTCGGTCCGTCCCAAAATAATTGTCTTGTTTCCTCTTTTGACAATAATGGGTGGCTCATATCAATTCACTTTTTTTTACTCAAATCTCAATCACAACTTTTACCTTTTCAACCATTTTGTTAAATTTGTACAAAAGCAAACCAGATAATTAATTCGAGACGGAGGGACTATTTGGCAAAGCCCCTATTATATTTCTATTTATGTTGGGTCAGAAAAAAGGCTCAATTTTTGTTACTAAACGGGCTTTGGAAAAAACGGGGTCCGTTTTTGTGATGACCGACCTGAAGCGTCAAGCGTATATGTGATCCCCAAAATGATGATCAAACCCTAAAATAGACGTGAGTTTTGGGTGCGCGTATCCGAGAGGAGAGGAGCAGAACAGAGAGCGGGAATCATGACCGGAAAGGCGAAGCCGAAGAAGCACACGGCGAAGGAGATAGCGGCGAAGGCGGACGCGGCTTTGACCAATCGCGGCGGTGGATTAGCTGGGCTGGCAGACCGGACGGGTAAGACCAAGGGTGGGCACGCGAGGTTTGAGTGCCCGCACTGCCGGATCACCGTCCCGAGTCTCACAACCATGAAGGACCACCACGATGCCAAGCACCCCAAGATCGACTACGATGAATCAAAGATCGTTGACCTCCATGCCAAATTAGCTGCCGAAGCATCCAGCAAGCCTAAACCCGGCGTCCGCGGCAGTCTTAAGAAGTGATCGGGTTCAATCACTGAAATTAAAAGCTTCAATCTGTGTGATTTACTCTTTTCCGTACTCCGTATATATTATTGCTGCTAGAATTTCGCTAATCAAGTCCTGTGTTAGTGTCTTTTGTCCGGAAGCTCTTGCTTTTGAATAATAGTTATCATGATTCATGAACTTGATACATTCTAGTTACTACTGATTCTATGCGTTAGTCTTTGTAGTGATGATAAGCTACTGATTATAATTCCGTATTCCCTAGATTAAGAAATAACCATTTTTATTGCGATTGATAAGATAAGGGTTTGAGCATAATTGAGTCTACATCAGAAACTCGAAATGAATCAGACCGATCAGTGTAGATCAGTCTAGATTGGTCTTGAACATGTTACATACGATCTAGACCGGTGCTGCGCCGGTTACACACCGGATCAGTTTTCAGTTCAACTTTTTTGACAGATTTTGATTCCGGTCTGGTCTGTCGAGCCTATGTTTCTGATCAATATAGGATTCTATTCATGGTAGTTGATAAGATCCATCCATTTAGCAGCACTGATTCCGGTTATAGTCTTTGATCCTATTAGAGTATTAGGATGTTTTTACTTGGACTCTAATTCCTCCAAGACTAGATCAGACCAGTTCAGACCAGATCGGACTTGGATAGTTATAAAAATACAAAGAAACCAGACCAGTTCAGACTATACCAGCAAATTACAGTCCAAGTAAAAACATCCTTAGTTTGGTGGCTTTGGTTCTAGTCGAGCCTGATAAGATCCATCCGTTTAGAAGCACTGATTCGATCTAGGGACGGGGACTATCGAATATGATGCAAGACCCTATAGTACTCTTACACAGGTAAATTTCTTGACTTCAAAGTTGTATCCTTTAAAACAGTCAGCCCTTCAACTATCATATTTGAACACACAACTGGGACCATGAAAGCAACTTTATCAAAGACTTGGAATATAGTTATATGAATTTTCAGTCAACGACCAACCTTCTATTCATTTAATTCACATTTAAATACACTAGGACTTATATAACACACTATCAATGTCGAACACTTGCAAACACACTCTTTCAAGTTTCAACACACCCTCCAAAATTGTGCCAAATTGCCCTTTAAATAGATAGGTAAAGTTTGGTGGTTATGATAAGTCCATTTTTGTACATATTTTTCTTATCAAAATTAAGCGATTTTTGTATAGAAAATAGAAAAACAAGGCACGTTTTGGATATTTTGGTTCAAGTTTCACGAATTCAGGGGAAAATTGCATTCATAATATGTTTGGTGAAATTTCAGGCCAATTGAGCACAAAATGAGCCAATTTGAGTAACAAATAAATCCATATCTAAAGAAGGAAACAGAATATCAAAGTGGCTCAGAAGGGAAATTTGAAGAGCAGAAAATACAGAACAAACCGATCCAATAAGCTCACAGGCGGTCAAGCAGGCGGCCAGATCTGATCGCCCTCCAGGCCGTCTATGGCTATTTTTGGAAAATCAATTTTTCGACTTTGACCGGGACTAGAAAAGATCTAATTTTTCGATTTTTGTTGAGGTCAAACACACCATCTCACACCCAATTCATATAAAAAAGGGCGTCTTCTTCCTCTTCAAAGCTCGGATTTCCACCATTGTTGGAACTTCAACTTCAATCTTTATATCTTTCTCATTTTAACTCCAATTTGTAAGTTCTTTATATGAAAATTCATCTTCTCGTTGTGTAGATTCTGAATATGTTGTTTTTATTTTCCAAATGTTAGTGAAACATTCTCTGCATTAATTTTAAGAATTTCATATTTTCTATATTTATTCAAGAAAAATAGTTCTTGTTGTTATATTAATCTCCTATTTAGATAAACTCAATACCTAGTATAAATGATGTTTATTTGTGACAGAAACAAAAGTTTAGATGTTGAGAGTATTCACTTTAATATTTTATTTTGTTGTTATGATTTATGATCATGTCTTATTTTATATGCAAAGCGTTAAAACTAGTAATGAGTTGTTGTAGTTAATTTACTCTTGGGCATGAGTTGAATTAAAAGAATATGGGTTGACCTTGTTTGACCGAAAATTAGGAGTTTAACTAATTTTATGAACTAGTTGTTTAAAATGATTAATTTGATTACTTAATAGATTTGGTCATTTCATTTATTAAACTTTGGAAGATTATTTATAGCTTGTCTATGAGATTATAAATAGTTAAAGCCAAACATATTGAGCACACTAATGAAGCCTAGAGATATGATAAATTAATGGATAGAATTTAATCTTTGTCTATGAGGAATAAATTCAACTGTTTAATATGAGAAATACAATTAATTAATGAAGTTGACCATTTTGTTAGCTAAAATGCGGAAAGTTATATCTATCTTGTCTATGAGATTAAAATATAATTTAGGCCAACCATTTTAACACATTAATGAAGCCTAGAAATAGGATAAATTAGTGAAAGTAACTTAAATTTTGTCAATGAGAAAAGAAATTACTAGTCCAATCTTTAGTTACTCGTAATTATTAGATCCAAGCTAAAACGATGTACCCATATTTTATAATTCAATTCATTGCCCTTCTTTGATCAATCCATTTAGAGTTTAATATTATATTTTTCATTTAGCTTATTTTTGAGCCATTATTAGTATTTTGCATAATTTAATTTACTTTCTTTTTCAAAAGTTAGTTTAGAAAATCAATCAAAAGTTTTAATTTGGAAAGCTTCCAATAATTTGCGATAACCTGTGACTGGACTTAAAATCAAGAAACTCCTCCGTCATTCCTCAAAAGACACGATACTCGGGAAAAAACCGAAAGGTTAGACTTCATTTTACTACAATGCCGCGTAAGCAGTTATCAGGTTACATGCCAACCAACCATAACCATCTATTTGAAAAGTTATGACTATTTAACTGCCACATGCTTGGACACGCCTTTTGAGCCGACTTATCTGACATAGCCCAATAATCGTGACTGCCGAACGACAGCCACGCCTCGGACTTGAGCCTGTCCACGCACCATACACTAGGGGCGGATCCAAAAAGTCACAATGGGGTGGGTTGGGAAAAAAATGTGGAGGAACCTCATTCAGTACATCTTGCACTATCGTAAGTATAAGTCCAGAACTTCCTACACTAGTGTCACGATTCACTTTCGAAAAGAACGATGAAATCAACTTCTTTCCTTTCTTGTCAATGTGTTCATTATCCATTCTAAAAAACATTTCCAATATTGGTATAAATTAAAATACTCATAAAAATATAACTAATAACGAAAAAACAAACATTGTACACTTGTACATAAAAGTAATAAGTATTCTCAATTTTCAATTTTATAATAACTAAATCATTTTCTACTCTTTAATTCTATCTTTAATTATTATAAATTTATGGTGAATTAAACACTACTTAATTATGTACTAAAAAATTCAATTAATAATCATAATTCATAATGATTCCCTAACCCTAAAAGGCTAAAACTCTAAAATGCTAAAACTAATAATAGATTAATACACAATAAGTGCAAGTCGGCAATACGGTATATTATAACACATTCAAAATTCAATGAAATCACAAATCACAATCTAACAACGTCAATAAAAAAAATCAAAAATGTAAAACAGAAATAGAATTTGAATTTTGGAGAATTGGAGTTTACTGTTTACCTGGAGGGAGTCGCAGAGGGCCAGAGGCGGACGACGTAGGCGGCGGCGTGGCGCGGCTCAGGTCTAACGTCTTCCTCGCAGGTTCAGTTCACACTTTGCAGCTCCAGAGCTCCTTCTTCTCGCTTCGCGGTTCTTCAATCGCAGTCGCAGTTGGCAGGTTTAATTCGCGTAAGAAGGCCGAGATGAGAAGCGCAGATAAGTGGTGGCCGCTGGGATGTGGGCTGGAGGGCTGGGGCGGGGAGTTAACTTAGGGTTGGGCTGAGATTTAATTTTGAGGTGGGCTCAAAATATAACATATACCTATAGTAACTATAAAAAAAATTGGGTTGGGCTGAAGCTCACCCCTGCCCTCAAATACTTCCACCCCTGCCATACACTACCCCTGAGTTACTGTCGAGTCGCTTGCTTTTTCATATGCCAAACTTGTTGTTCCGCATCGCGTAAGCCAAGCTATACTTATCCAACACTTCGACCACATACCGAGCCAACACACCCATGGCCAACCTTGACCATGTCATGTTGCCCATGACACTGCCCCAAAAGCCAACCACTCGAGTCTTTGTCATGTCTCGAGATAGAACCACCATTTTAGGGGTCTAACGCCTATCATCTTACTTTCGAAATGGATGAATACACAAGTAAAAATATATGTATGTATATGTTTGTATGGATGCATATTATTGTTAAATCGTATTTTTAAAGGGGTTGTCATTTAATCTCGGCAACTGCGGTGAGAGATTTCTATGTAAAAATGCATAGGATCTCTACCAGGGCCACAGCCTCACTCACTATATGTCAGTGATGGATTATAGGGATCCAAACATGTATAATTAGGAGAGATTTGAGCTAAAGAAAGTGAAGAAGATGAATGAATAGTAATGTGTGAATATAGAATTGAGAGTTAGGTTTACAGGAGCTCCCTTTGGGAGTATAAATAGAGAAACGATGGGCCGGGCCGCTAATATGGGCCTGATAGGCCCAACTACATAAAAGACTAATCTAGTACATACAAATGATAAATGATATCGATGAAGCGTGTGTGGGCCATTGTCAAGGCTCAATAGTCATGAGACCCCGGGGTCTGAGTCTATATACTCTATCAGAAGTCCCCCACTCCCTGAGTCGAGAGTTCTCGAGGCGAAAGGGAGTAGAGTTGTGTGCTGATTTGTTGTCGTCTAATGAGTAAACTTCATGAAATTTTTTGAATTTGTGCTTCTTCGATTAACGGAGGCGCTAAGTCCTCCGCTCTTCCAGTCCCCCACTCCTTGAGGTGAATGTAGTGAGGTGAAGAGGAGTAGAGTAGTGCACGTCTCGTGATGTCTTTAATAGGGACCGAGGGTCAACACCTTTTGTCCACTTTGGGGAGATGCCTCGTTAAAAACCTCACTAGGAAAAAACCCCGTGGGAAAAAATCCTAATGAGGGGAAAAGAGTACACCGGATGCCCCCAAAATGAAGCAAAAGGGATGAACCCTTCGGTCTGGACGTGGAATTGCAACCGTCGGCATCTGCTAAGGGGATGGCCAAGATCGGTCCTCGTATGTGCGTAGCTCGGCATGATATGTAATCCTAGTCATCAAATAAAGATGACTAAGAGATAGATCGAGCGACCGTCCATAATGATGTTCGGGTCATCAAATAAAGA